GCTGCCTCCTCAGAGGGCCTCTCACCACAACCCTGCCTTGGGCAAGCTCAGAGGAGATCTAGGTTTGAGCTCCTACCCCAAGTCCCAGCTTTGCAGGAAGGGAGAGTCTTTAGTGTCCTCTGGCCCTCCCAGCTCACTACTTAGTGAGCATGACACTGTGTGATGTCCTGAGATGGTATCTGCCTACCCCTTCCTCTAGCTGTGCCCTCTGTCCTTCCTACCCCGGGTGTTCCTGTGTTGGGAGGGGACCTCACCATCCGTGCCTTCCTGCCTTTGGAGTCAGTCCCTCCCAGTGTAGGAACCCACACACTGCACTTGGTGCTTTGCATACTTTAGCTCATTGAATTCTCATGCAGGCCTAGCCAGATGAGATGTTCATACTCCCATCTCACAGATGAGAAAATGGATGTTCAGAGGGAGAATGTTGGTTCGCCAAGGTCATGGAGCTGGGTGCAAACCCACACATGCTTTTGAGACCACACCCTTCCCTCCTTGCCTGTGGGCCCTGGCCCCTGGCGTGCTGGGGCAGGGTGTGGGGTTCTCCTGGGGCTGGCTCTGATGGTGGACCCCCTGCCTTCTGCTTCTTTCTCATCCTCCATTCCTAGGAACTCAGGCTTTTCCGCCTTTGCCCTGCAAGGCTGGTGCCCCTGTGTGTGGCAGGCTGGAGCTGGGGTGATGTCCTCCAGGAGGGAGAGGCTGAATCCTCAGATGCTGCTGCTGCCATGGGAGAGGTGGCGTGGGAGGACAGCTGCCATGGCAGGTGACGGAGTGAGTGTGCTGTGTGTGTGAGTGACATGTACAAACCCTTGCCCAGATACACACATATGCACACACAGGCAAGGCTGTACTATTGCTACCAAGGGGGAACTCTAAAAAGTCTATATAAGGTTATTATTATATTGTAATGCCTATAGCAATCACTTAAAGAAAAACAGTAAAAAAGACAAGTACTAAAAAATAATCAAATAATCGAAAGGAAGGAAAAAAGAAACATAGGAAGAAAAACCAGAGAAAACAAATAGAAAAATAATTAAATGGGAGACCTAAATCCAGCCATATCAATAATTACATTAAATATATATGACTTATAAATGAGGTAATATATATAAAAGTAACTATCTTAAGAAATAATAGTTAAGAACTTCCCAAATTTCTTCAAAGACATAAATGTATATCAAGATCTGCAAAGGGAAACAAGACAAACTCAAAGAAAAATCATACTAAGACATACCATATACTCTAGTATATATACTATATGTACTACATATATAGCAATAAATAATATTTTCTTTTTAAAAAATGTGAATAGTCTAAACACACCAATTAAAAGACAGAAAGCGTCAAATTATATAAAAAATAAAAACCAAGTATATGCTATCTATAAGAATCACATTTTATTGATATAGCCAAAATAAGAGGACAGAAAAAGATTAATCACATAAATCCTAATAATGTGGCTATATTAATATCAGATAAGGCAGACTTCAGAACAATGAAAATTACAAGGAACAAAGAGAAACACTGAATAATAGGAGGGTTTATCCACCAGGAAAATATGGTTATAATCCCAAATGCATATGCAACTAATAACAGAGCTTCAAAAGACATAAGGCAAAAACTGGTAGAATTAAAGGCGAAATAGACAAATATACAATTATAATTGGAAGTTTCAATGCTGTTCTTTGCAGTAAGTATAGCAAGAGGCCAGAAAATGAGCAGGAATGCAAAAGACTCACCTAGACCTCACCAACATCTACGGAACACACCATCCAACAGCAGCACACATTGATTCCAAGGGCACATGTGACATTCACCAAGATAAAGCATATTATCAGCCAAAAAGCACACCTTAACAAAATAAAGATTTAAAACCATACAAAGTATGTTCCCTGACCATAATGGGATTAAACTAGAAATAAATAACAGAGAGATATCAAAAAACATCCCCAAATATTTGGAAATTAAACAACAAATTTCTAAATAAGATAAGCCAAAGAGGAAATTTCAAGGGAAAACAGACAATATTTTGGGCTAAATAGAAAATGAAAATACAGCATATCACAATTGTGAGCTCTAGCTAGAACAAAGCTTTAGAGAAAAATCTGTAGCATTAAATATTTCTGTCAGAAAAAAATGTCTCAAATCAATCATCTAAAATTTCACCTTAAGAAATTTTAAGAAGAGATAAAACCCAAAGAAATTTTAAGAAGAGATAAAACCCAGACTTCAGAAGAAATGAAATAATAGAAATAAGAGGAGAAACCATAAAATCTAAACGAAAATAGAGAAAATCAATGAAATTAAAATCTAACCGTTTGAAAAGATCAGTAAAATTGATAAACCTCTAGCCAAACTGATCGGGCAAAAAAGAAAATCCAGAAATTACCATCTAAGAAATGAAATAACCCAAGCACTACAGACATTAAAAAGGTAAGAGAACATTACCAAAATCTCTACATTCATAAATTTAACAACTTAAGTGAAATAAAACAATCCCTTGAAATAGACAAACTGTGGCCAGGCGCAGTGGTTCACACCTGTAATCCCAGCATTTTGGGAGGCCGAGGCGGGCAGATCACTTGAGGTCAATAGTTTGAGACCAGCCTGGCCAACATGGCAAAACCCCGTCCCTACTAAAAATACAAAAATTAGCTGCGTGTGGTGGCAGGCGCCTGTAATTCTAGCTGCTCAGGAGGCTGAGGTAAAGAATCCCTTGAACCCGGGAAGTGGAGCTTGCAGTGAGCCAAGATCAAAGCACCATATCCAGCCTGGTCGACAAAGCAAGACTCCATCTCAAAATAAATAGATAAACAAGCCACACACTAGAAGAAAATATTTTATAAATTAAATATCTGACAGCTTATTAAAAAATTCTGAAACTCAGTAGTAAGAAAACAGATAACCTAATACGAAAAATGGACAAAAGATATGAACAGACACTTCACCAAAGAAGATATTTGAGTGGAAAATAAGCATATGAAAACATCCTCAACAACTTTCATCAGCAGGAAATGTAAAACAAAACCACTTTAGAGTGAGTTGTGGTGGCTCACGCATCCCAGCATGTGGGAGGCAGAGCTTGAGCTCAGGAGTTCAAGACCAGTCTGGCCAACATGGTGAAACTCCATCTTTACTAAAGATATAAAAATTAGCCAGGCGTGGTGGTGGGCAGGTGCCTGTAATCCCAGCTACTGAGGGAGGCTATGAGAGGAGAATCACTTGAACCCAGGAGGCAGAGGCTGCAGTGAGCCAATATCACACCATTGCACTCTAGCCTGGGCAAGAGAGCAAAACTGTCTAAAACACACACACACACACACACACACACACACACACACACTCTCTCTTTAAGTGCCACCATATATCTATTAGAAATGGCTAAATGTTTTTTAAAATTGACAATATTAAAGGATGCCGATACTGAGGAACAAGAA